CTGTTTTCTTATAGTCACTCTTCTTTTAGTCTCCTTTCACTCCTGTATAGCTCTGCTTATTCACATGTTATCTTAAAGAGTTCGGTGTTCTGTCTGCTGTCTGGAAAATAGAATCCAAGATTCTTTTGCTCCACCCTACAGAGACAGTGCTCATTGCTCTCTCCTGAATTTTCTGGAGTACTTTACTTGAGAAGTGATGTTTCCTTTCTAGTTGCCAGGGCCTCCTTAGCTCAGTTATCAGCTCCTTGAGGGTAGGAACTGAGTCTTAAGTCCTCAATACTATGCTCTATATTTACTAGACATTCAGATAACTTCATTGATTTGAGTGAAGGAAGGTGATTTATCTGTTTAAGATTTTTATCACATTTGGAGTTGAAAGTTGAATTTCCTAAATTACTGAGGATGTAATGATTGCTTTAAAACCTGTGTTATGTTGTTTTTAAAATCAATAAATTGTCCCTAAGGGCACCAGTGATGAACAGGGAGGACCATTGCTAAGTGGTGGGGGTGATGTGGCCTGGGAGTTTGCAGCTTTGCCTTGTCTATTGCCTGTTTCACATCTGTGGCTGTTAGTCAGCCTGCTCCTGCTGAAGTGTAGCCTGAAGCGTATTTTAGTCAACCCGTAACACTTTAGACTTGTTATTAAACTTTTATAAAGCAATCAGACTTAATGAAGTGTTTTTATGGTCAATTTCAAACTCTATAACAGATTTGAAATATTTATAAAATAACAGGTGAGAAAACTGAGGTACAGAGGTGATCTGGACAAGGTCCTACACCAAGCTAAGATGTCACATGAGTCTTCTGTGTTTTTTTAACCTGTTTTAGAAAGTGCGTTCATATAACACAACTTATTTAGATAATAGTCCCCTCTAACCTTAAATTAGTGTCAAAGGTATCACATAAGAATCTTAGCTCAAAGAATTTTCTGATATTTAACTTTTTACTTGATTGGTGACAGAATGTATCATTTTATTACATGCATACACACTCTCTGAGGTTTGTCTCCTTCACCCTTGTCTCACAAGTTACCGGCACATTGTAGACTTAATAGAGTGAATAAATTGAAATCTACCTGGATATCGCCTATCCCACTGCGTGCGCTGTGATGTCTTCAGTGAACTACTCAGTGAAAGCTAAAAAACACTTAAGTTCAGTGGAACTGACCACATTAGGTTGGGCAGTATTTAGGACTGTTTTCTGTAATAAAAACAATCGAGTGTTAAGCCATTGGTTTTGAGAGGCTAGGGTGAAATGACCAAGTTGATGGGCTTGGGTTAGCCATTTCCACATCTCTAGCTAAAATACTGCTTGCCTGAAGCAGGATTCTTCTTTCTTCACAAAGCCAGACAGAGCTGGCTTCTTAACCTACTGCATTCTTACTAGTGCCCCGTCATCTCCTTATTGTTCGTCTGGGCAGCAGTTCATATCAAGGCTCTCATAGCTTTCTGTCCTTGGAGGTCGTCTGACCCCGTCTTTTCTGTTCTGTGTCCAGCACTCTACGTAAGTTTTCACGTGCCCTTTTAGCAAGCCTCCTGCCTCCATTTTCTTGATTCATCAAATGTACACCTGCCCAATTTATCATCTCTTCAACCCTCACCTTCACATTACGTTTTTAAAAAATCCTTGTAGCCATTTGTTTTTACGTATCTATGTACATACGGAAAACATGCATGTATACGTTTATTGTTGTTTGTGTTTTATTTATGCGCTACTCAGATGTAAGCTACTTGAGGGCAAGGAGCTGTATTCCACCATGTGTTTAATAAATGATGAATGAATGAATTCAAAGTGCTTTTAGTTATAATTCATCCTCTTGACAATTTTCCAAATGTTTTTACTGTACCTTATACATTCAGTATTCAGTCCCAAAGTATCATATTCAAAATATTTTAGGTTTTATTATTGAAATAGAAAGTCATTCACCTGTAAACCTATTTTTCTGGTATTAGAGCAGAATGTAGGATTTCCTATTGGGAAGCAGCAAAAGTCTGAATTGTTAAACTTAAAAATTCTAGCCATCTAAGAATTACACCATAGCCTGATTCTGATTTTTGAAAAGTATTGTCTTGAAGAATGATTTTTGTTATCAGATATTTAAGATATCTGGAATTTGTGTCAGAGAAGATGTGGAATTTCTTTCATGATACTTTCTAGCAATATATTAATTAAAAAACCAAGTTACTTTGCAAGACCTGGTATTAATATACCCCCTGAAAAAGAAAGGAAGGATGACTTCGAGCAGATCTTTGATGTGAAGATTCTCATTTGCTTTAAATGTCTCTTAGAGAAAAAAAACTTCCCTCTTTAAAATTTTTTTCCTTCTCTATTCTGCAAACATTTTATTTTGTAAGTTTTCAAATCTTCAGTAAAGTTGAAGGATGGTGGACACTGGTAGATTCACAGGCTTCATTCACACTTGGCTTTATCTTTATAAATATTCGTGCACGCACACATGTCCTTTATGCTGAACCCTTTGGTAATAAATGGTTGTCCTGACACTTCACTCCTAAAAAAAACTTTGTCGCTCCTGAGAAGAGAGGCATTCTACTCACTTTGATACCAGTTATCACTCCTAAGAAATTTACCATTGATAAAATAATATCTATACACATCAGATTGAAATTTCTCTCTCTGCTTTTTCTTTTATGGCTGTTTGTTCCAGGATCCAGAAGATCACGGGTAGCATTGGTTGTCATGTTTCATTAGTCCCCCTGCCTTTTTTGTGTTTAATGACTGACATATTTGAAGAATTCGTGCCAAAATAGAAGGCACATCGTGTTAAGTTTGTCTCATTAGTAGTGATATAAACTCAGTTACCTGGTTATGGTGGTGATGGCCAGATTAATTTTATCAGTAGCTTTGGCATCCACTGATGAGCCTTGCCTCAGTCAGTCAGTACTCCATTAGTGGTTACAGAGTACTGATTTTCTAATTACATGATTTCCTCCCATACTTATTAGCTGACATTCTTATTGATGTAGAGAAGAGCTCCCCTTCCCATTCATTAATTTTAATAGGCTATTTCTAGGGCAATTTTAGGTTCACAACAAAGTTGATCAGAAGGTACAGGGTTCCCATATACCCCTTGCCCTCACACGTGCAGGGGCACAGCTTCCCTTGTTATTAACTGACATCTGTACCAGAGTAGTACATTTGTTCCAGTCAGTGAACCTACACTGACAACATCCTTAACACCCCAGAATCCGTAGTTTACATTAAAGTTCGCTCTTGGTGTTGTATCTTCTGTAGGTTTTGACGAATGTTTATAATGATCCCCATTAGTTTTTTATTAAACATGTGTAACCTCAGATTGTAGATGACAGTGATTATGGTCATTGTTACTCAACGCATGAATACAGTGTGTCAGGCAGTGTACGAAGCATCGTATATTATTTCTCAATCATTCAAGGTCTGTTTTAGTATTAACCCAATTTTCCAAATAAGTAGAGTTTGAGAGAAGTTGAGTAACTCATCAAGGTCATTTGGTGGAGTAAGTATGTGGTAGAGCTTGGATTTAAACCAGTGCCTCTGCATATTTGCAATGCTGTGGTAGAGTCAAGGTCCTGCCTTTGCCACTTTTTAAGTGCTGCAGCCATGGTTAAGTAAACATCTTAACTCAGCTGAGGAAATGGCGTTGATGTTTAAGTGAATTAGTAATATGCATCTTATATTTGAGGACCCAGTGAAGCACTGCATGGAGGGGTGGAGAGGAGTGTGTACACAGTACTTGCGGCACAAGATCTAAAATTTTTAGTAGAGCGTTCTTGTTATCCATAACCAGACAATAGCAAGAAGCAACTGTATCATGGGTGTGTTAAACTTTAGCAGCTTCAGTATTCCCTCCTAAACATGGTGCGCTAGTGGACAGCCCTCTTCTGTTGGTATTACTGGTGTGAGGGAGGGCATTGGCTTAGTTAGGTTCTGTTCTTTCTAAGTAAACAGGAGAGAAGCATTTGTCTTAGGAAGATGTTATATTTGGACTTGATTTTCCAGGGAAATCATAGATTCTTATTTACATAGGTTCTATGTTTTTGTGGACATTTTTGTCACCAAAATATAGGCACCTTTTTCATAAATGATATTTTGGAATAATCTGTCATTTCAAGAAGATGCTGTTGAATGCTTTAGAGAGTAGTGTTTTGCCTGGGTGGTGGGACTGAGTGAGAGACATTGTCCTTGGCCTTGCTCTGGGGCAAGAACACATGGGCAGACGTGAATCCTGTCTGTTTCCCCTCCTAGGTCCCGCGGCAGTGCTGGTGGCCATGGTTCCCGTAGCCAGAAGGAGCTGCCCACAGAGCCCCCCTACACAGCATATGTAGGAAATCTACCTTTTAATACTGTTCAGGGCGACATAGACGCTATCTTTAAGGATCTCAGCATAAGGAGTGTACGGCTAGTCAGAGACAAAGACACAGACAAATTTAAAGGTGAGTTTGGGGAACTTCTACTGTACATTATTGTAAGGGGTAAGGGTCTAAACCAAAATGTGCTAGTGAACCAGAGGGCTTTAGTTAAGAAAAATATTTCAGGTATTTGCCTGGTTCATGTAGCTGAGATAAACTTAGCCCTTTAACTGATAGACCTTCCATTCTACGTGGCAGAACATGTTTTATACATAGTCTAGTTTGTGGAAATATGTGGCATGTGCCCAAGTAAATCTAGTTCGCCTGTCCTATCTAGCAATCCTGTTTCTGCCAGTAAAAGAGTTAGCAGGAGAGAAATGAACAGGTAAAACTGGACTTTTCAGGTGCATTTCACGTTGGCCGACTCTTGCATTTTTCTTTATGATTTTCCCGTAATCTAGTTGTTTATTATGAAATTCAAAAGATAACCTAGTACGTGTTGTCGCTGTACATTTGCGACTTAGAGCATGTGTTTGGGGAAAGGGTTGGCTTGAATTTCAAATAAGTTAGTGTCTAGAGATTAGTCTCTTTAGGGCACTTGAGCAGAGGAGTAAGAAAGAAGAATCCAATGGCCATTATCATCTAGCTCTCAAGGCTTCCTGAAGGGAGATGTGCCCTGTATTGAAGTGCACGATGGTGCTGCTCCCTGAGAGGTGCTGTGAGTGGTGGTGTTTTTGTCATTTTGAGAGCTTTCTAAAATAAAATAAAAAAATAAAAAGCTTTCTGACTCAGGAATCTGAGGCCTTGTTATAGTAAAGGATCAGTGAAAACAAATATATCAGTTAAGCTTATAAAAGTGAGTCCCACCTGGTTTGCCCGCTAGGAGGTATTAGGAATTCAAATTTAAGGTAAAAATGAGCTAGCCTTTGGGCTGAGTCAGTAGCAGCAGGTTTTAGAGTTTCTCAAAGAAGGGCATCTTTAGTTACAGCAGCTCTGGAGTGTGGTGGGAGGTGTGACTAGGCTGCTGTTGTTACGTCTTTGAATGGAGGTGATTTTCTCAATTCCTCTAGACAGTGGATCCACTTAGGGAAGAAGGCATGATGGGGAGGGGAGGGTATGTGGGGAGAGGGGAACTGTCCAGCCCAGCAGTACATTTTTTATGTAAGTACGTACTGAGCAAATGGTAAACAAGAAAAGTTTGGACCCGGGCTTTTGAAGCACTTGCAGTCTAGCGGGCTTTGAAGGTGTGGTGTATCATCATACAGGATAGGGGTACAGGCTGTGGGGGGTGGGGAGCACTGGTACAGGGGGCAGTCTGAGCATATGGGGCTGGGGGAGTGCTTAACCCAGATGTAACCCAGAGGCGGGGAAAGAGCAAGACCAGAGTGTTGCAGGTAGAAGGAAAAGAGGTTCGAAGTGAGAGAGGATGCATTTTTTTTTTCCTCTGCATGAAGTGTTCTCTTACAGGTCTGTGTCAGAATCTAGCATCAGGGACTTGGGTTATCAACAAAGCGTGCCTGCACCTAGGCCAGCTCTCTTTAATTAGCATCCCAAGGAGGATGCGCCTGTTGCCAAGGGTGTATTCTTCAGCTTTGTAAAGCAGATTTTATACCAGCTATCTGAGTAGTAATAGGCACCTTCAGCCTGTTCCTTCAAAGCACGTTTGGTGTCAGATTTGAGATCTGTGTCTAAAAGCCCCAACTAGGTTATATTAAAGTCATTCAGAAGTCAGAACTAACAGCTCTTCAGTGACCTAGGAAGGGTTTTTATATATGGTTAAAACATGAAGAAGAAAGTTTTATAAAAACACAGCTACTATTTCAGTACCTATATGATTAGCACTTTCTGGGAATGTAATTGAGAGGGAGGAATACCAGTCAAGTTCTATTTATCAAAAAGTAAAATATGCTCTTTCAGGTTCTGCAAGTCTGCTGTCATCTAGATGCAACAAACGTAGTAGTTCTGAAGTAGGGAAATGGTGTAGACAGGGATCCTGTCTTACCTTAACCCGGAATTCCTTGAGGAAATTGGGGTTTGTTTTCTTTTACAGGATTCTGCTATGTAGAATTTGATGAGGTAGATTCCCTTAAGGAAGCCTTGACGTACGATGGTGCAGTAAGTACATTCAGGTTTTCTCTGTCATGTTAGTAGTTGAGATTTTTTTCTTGCCAATACTTACAGTATTTTCCCCTTATCATTAGCTCTTGGGTGACCGGTCACTTCGTGTGGACATTGCAGAAGGCAGAAAACAAGATAAAGGCGGCTTTGGATTCAGGAAAGGTGGACCAGATGACAGAGGTGATTGGTTCTTCTACAACTGAACATAAAGCTTGCTGTATACCCCCTGATTACAGCTCTTGAAGGTTACTAATAGAACTCTACCTCATAGGTCTGATAGGTGTTTGTGAGCTTTTAAAAATGTGTAAAATCTTAGAAAGAATGGATGATGCTTCTGCAAGCCTGGGTTTTTTTCCTTCCTCTTGGCAGCAAAAACTCATAATTTCACTGAACTTCCCATCACATGAGTTTTATACATCTTCCCAATGAATTAACCATGTTTGTGCAGCAAGGTAATGATACGACCTCAACTTTATCTTTTTTGTGTATCCTCAGGAATGGGTGGCTCTCGAGAATCTAGAGGTGGATGGGATTCCCGGGATGACTTCAATTCCGGTATCAGTATTTAAAGTATCACCACTTACTTTTTCAGTGGCCTTGCTGCTGTTGTACGTTTCTTGTGAGTAGCCCGCCTGGTCGGACTACCTTGCTACTAGTCCTTTCACAAATGAGACTTTCCTAAAAGGTACCCAGGCATGCAATAAGCCTCCATCAGAACCTAAATGTTTGGAGTAGGACTTGAAAGGTTCCACATTGTGGGCAAGTTAGACTGACTGATCCACCTTATTTTGTTACGTTTCGTGAGCCTACTGTTCTCATATGTGCCTTGAATTCACACTGAGTCTTTCTCAGGGTCTAGCCCATGGGAATCCCTTGGTTCTTGTATGACACAAGAAGTACTAACACTTCTGGAAGTAGTGTGGAGGTTCTGGAAGCTTACAGAAAGCCTCATAGTAATGGTTCCTTGTGGCTCCCTATTAGATTGTAAAAGATAGTCCTGGTGACCTCTTCCTTTCTTGAAGGGCATGGAACTCATAAACCCTTAATGGTGGACATAATCCACTTGATCATTCCTTTCTTAATTTACCAAAACAGACCAATGGATGCCTCCTTGTGTCGGTCAAGAGCTCAGTTTGCATGCCAGGCCTAAGCGCTCAAGGGTTGATCTTAACATGTCTTCATCTCTTGACTTTTTTTTTTTTTTTAAGTAATGAAAGGTCGTATATAGTAAAAATGTCCATTGTAACAATAAGGCAGAAAACGAAAAACAAGTTTGTTTTCTTTCCTCTGAACCTGAGATCATCTGCCCTTGCCACTATATGAGATGAGAACATTAGTGCTCCCACCCACCCTTCACCCTCTCCCCATGAAAACAAAACTCAGTATAAAGTGGTAAGTATGGGAAGAACTAGTCTTGTGAGTCTCAATTTTTTTTTAGTCTAAATTTTTAAAAATTTCATTTCCAGTACTAAACAGATGACTATTTCTATCTGTTGAATAATTAAATTCCTAAAAGTCCTACAGCCAATCAGAAATGAGCTTATTCATAAAAGTACAGTATAATCCAGTAAACCTGTAATTTTATGTATAAGCTAGTCTCTGATTGAAACATGCAACAAATGTCTTCTCACAGCCATCCCAGGTGTAGCAGTAGTTAGTGGCTCAATGAGTGGTGGTCTCTGACCTGCCTGCCAGTTTTATATTCCCTAATACTAGAAATAGTACAGTAAGCTCATAGCGTTGGGACCATGGAGGTTACCAAAGGAACCAGGATCTTTCTGCTTCTGGCTTAGGTGGGGCTTTTACTCTTAAGCAAGACGTATAGTGAATATAGCCAGAGAAACTACCTTGCTGCCCACCAGTTCCCGTGTAAACTGAGGTGTTCTGGTGGTAACCTAAAGCCAGGAGTGCCCACAGGGTGGAGTGCTGCCTATAAAGTACTTGTGAAAATAGACCTTTTTTACTTTGTAAAAGAATGATGCTTTTAAAAAAAATGACATACTTATTTAAAAAAAAATTCAAATAATACAAAAAATTACAAAGAAGTGTATAAGAAAATCCCATTAGCAGAAGTAAGCAGTGTGTTAAATTCAACTTTGTAAAAAAAACTCAGAAGATTCTTATGAATAGTGTGCGTCTTATAAATCTGTCATCAGACTTGATGAAAAGATATTTGTTAATGTCAAACCTTGCTTTTCCCTCAGTCTTCCCATTGCTTGTATCATAAGAGATTTTGCAGTGAGGTTGTCACTTGATACTAATGTATGCTGATGTTTTCTCCACTGTGCTTTGTCTCATGAACCTGGACAAAGTAGCAGTTGTATTTATGTGCCTTGTCAGTGTGGGTATGAGCTGATATGTTTTATGCTAAACACTGGTAGCAAAAATTAATCTCGGGAAGGAGAGTGTAGCTTGGTGGTAGAGTGCATGCTTAGCATGTACAAGGTCCAGGGTTCAATCCCCAGAACCTCCATTAAAAAAATAAGCCTAATTACCTCCCCCCCAAAATAAATAAATAAAATTTTAAAAATAAAAAAGTGCATATTTTTTAAAAAATTTAATCTCAGAAGAGAAGTAACTTTGCTTACATATTCACATGGAAAGGTACACTTCATAGTATAATTTGGGGGAAATGTCAGGTTAAATGTTTGAATACTAATTAAGCTTGCTTAATGAATGTTATAAGCTCTGGTTGTTAAAAAAGACTTTGTAAAGAACCCTGTACTTGACTGTATGTGTCTAAATGTGTTTTCCCCCAAAGCAGTGCTCCTACTGGTCTAAATCATTTTAGAATTGTTATCATTACCTGTTCTGTTAAAATTGATACTGTTCAACTTAGTCTCTGAACTGGGTTTAGATAACTCGATCAGTTTCCAAATTTCTTGCCATCCTTAAAGAACAAAAAAACACCACCAATGCAGATAGAGTTAGTTCTCCACATTAATAGTAGTTCCGATCTGTAAAACCACTGCAAACACCTGTTGGCGGAATCCAAGCCATTGCTCTTAGGGGAGGTACAATGTCAGGCTCCTGGGAACCTGGTCCTCTCGTCATATTTTTGTTGACCAGTCAGTACATAACCTTGTTTTATGTGTTTCTGTTTTAAAGACACTTTAGTATAGATTATTGATTCATTAGCAATGCACTCATGGCCCAGCGCTGTAATTCATGCCTGAATGAGGCTTCTCTAAAGCGTATTTTCTCCACAAGGCACATCCCAGCCTTCTTGCACTTAAGAACACACTAGACAGTGCTTCAGCACTGGTGTTCGGGTGTTGTTTTAAGCAGAAAAATCACCAATGAAAGGCAAAAAAGCGCAAAAAACCTAGCACTAAGCAGGTTGTGAAAAGGACACTTGTTTACAGTTTGGGCTGACACAGCAAGGCAGGAGGTTGCCTTGTTCCACTGCAGCTGGGCGCATGCGTGTCTTTCACTGCTCTGTGCATATCTGCATGATGGCAGAAGGCCCCAGGTGTTGATTTGGGGGTTACAAATAGATTTTAGTGACGAGTTTGCAAACATGAAACCTGTGGGTAATGGGAATCGACTGTGTATTAGACTGTTCCTCCGGTTCAGGGGTCTTAGTGATAAGGTCCCACAAAGCTTTGAGCAATGGCACCATCCTTGGAGTGAGTAAAACCAGTCACCTTTAGGAGTTTAATCAGAGGGGGCAAACTCATTTAATTACAATCTTATTTCTTAAATTTCTACTGAAAGTTAACTTAAATAGGCTGTATTATTAAACCATTATTTATCTTAACCCCCAACCGTGACTTTGAATTAACACAAAACTGAGTCTTTCGGTTCTTAAAATTCACTGAGAAAATGTTCTTCACACTGAGAATTGCAACTTACTATTTTCTTTTCTTACTTTTTTTTTTTGAAGTGTAGTCAGTTTACAATGCTGTGTCAGTTTCTGGTGCACAGCACAATGCTTCAGTCATACATGAATATACATACATTCATTTTCATACTCTTTTTCACCGTATGCTACTATAAGATATCGAATATGCTGTACATATGTATCCCCTGTGCTGTACAGTGTGAGCCCCAAGTGGTGCAGTCGGTCAGAGTGCAGTACTTATGCAGCAGTTTACTCTTAATTCTAAGTGAGACGCAGTTTACTTCTGTTGGTAGTTGTTTCATCAGGTACGCAAATGAGTGTGGAGAATGCTTTGCAGCCAGAGGTGTGGGTTGGGTGTGAGGTTCCTGCTCTCTGGCGCCCTCTCTGGGAAAGGAGTGGGCCTGATCACAGCTTTGTTTACACGCAGGTGCTTTGCTTTTAGGATCCTGAAACCCGAAATGCAGCAGAAAGAAAAATGGGGAGTGTCACCCAGAGGTGACTTCATGTTTTTATTTTGTTTTCATGTCTAGCTTTTTGTGATTATTGCATTCTAAATTGTAACTTCTAAATTTCAGGTTTATCTTTTTAATAACTGTGTAGGTTTATATTAGAAAACAATAAAATGTGCTTTGAGGATTTCTGTTTTGTTTTAAGCCATATTCGAATATAGTCTTACGAACTTTTCCTGCAAGCTAAGAATTTATTTAAGCAACTCGTTTTATTTTTCTCTTCTGAGTTTTTGTTTATTTTTTTTTAAGTGTCAGCATTGAAACTACCCAGCAGATTCACATCTGGACTCATATTTGATTCACTTTATTTTGGAAAAGCTTCTGATGCTGGACAAACTAAAGAATTTAAAATTGAACTCAAACAATTCACACAAGCTATGTAATCAGCCTTGAGACGGTAGTTTTAAAAGTAATTCAATGTCATCTTCCTTCTTCAGGCTTCAGGGATGACTTCTTAGGAGGCAGGGGAGGGAGTCGCCCAGGTGACCGGCGAACAGGCCCCCCAATGGGGAGTCGATTCAGAGATGGCCCTCCCCTTCGAGGGTCCAATATGGATTTCAGAGAACCAACAGAAGGTATGACAATGACTTGTAGACGGAGGGCTGGGGGCGTCATTTATGACATGTTTGTAAATTACTGTGTTTTTTTTCTTCCCCAGAGGAAAGAGCACAGAGGCCGCGGCTCCAGCTTAAACCTCGAACAGTTGCAACACCCCTCAATCAAGTAGCCAATCCCAACTCTGCTATCTTCGGGGGAGCCAGGCCCAGAGAGGAAGTTGTTCACAAGGAGCAAGAATGAGCTTGTGGTTGGGAGGGAATGGGGTGGGGGAGTTGGAGCGAGACCACGGCCTGGCTAGCCCCCCGGACCGGCAGCCCTGCAGTTACCGATCCTGCACCTGACCTTTGTCCTCCTTTCTTACAACGGAAACAGAGCTTGTGAGTGCATGTCCGCAGTTAACAAGTGGTTTTTAGTACATTCTTGGCTTTGCTGTATCTACCTAGTGCCTGTTTTGTGTCTTTTTTTTTTTTCTTCCTGCCGCTCCTTTCCTATTTTCCTTCTGTCCTCTTTCCTTCTTGCTCCTTGTTTCCTTCCAGCACCTGAGTTTCTCTAGAGGGACAAAGGCAGCCACCATGGGGGGTTCTTTGGATTGAAGTGCTGCTTCATTTTTCTCCTTTGCTTTTTTTCTCTCTTTACTTTAGCCTTGCTGCGCTGGCCGGTCTCTGGTCGTTTCCTTTCATTTTTCTCCGTGCTTCTCTTCTGACCTGCATGTGGAGTTCTGTATTGCTGTGGCTTCCAGGAAAAAAGCAGAAGTCACAAATTGGATAGCACCTTGTCTTTATTCAGCTGTGATCAACATACAGCTGATTAAACATCATACATACATCATAATTGTTTTTAAAATAAGGATAAAATACCTGATCTTTGCAAATTCCTCCCTGTAACTATTTGTAGGCAGTCCTGTCTCCATTACCCTCTCCTCAGATGGATTATTCAAGCAGAATAGGCTCACATTTCAAACAGCTAAACCTGAAAGGAGAATAATGCGGAGTGTTGGTGGGGAGTGCACGTAGAAGATAAATTGGTTTATTATTGCTATTTTGATACCATGTCCAAACTGGTTCCCGCTTTCACTAGCTGTATTAGAGGCTCCTCTGTGTGGCTGGATATAGCGAACTGCCGTCGGGTTTCCTTCCCGCTGGGCAGACGTGCTCTGGGGGTCGTAGGTGGTAAAGCTCTGCTGGGCTTAATCCGCGGGGCAGACGCTGCTTTCTTTCACAGCCCTGTTGTTTCTGTGTTCTGCATTGCTCCCTGTGTTTATCTGTTCCCTGGTATAAGGAACAGTGAGATACTGTGCTTCCCACCATCCCTTAATTTTAGAATGGAAATGGGCCTAGAATCTGGCACTTTACTCTGTTTTGCTTGATGAATTGAGAATTTTACTATGCAGAGCTGTCAAGAGCTTTGAAATAACTGGTAGGTGGCTGTCGGTCACTAAGTCTCATCTTTAGGATGTTGACTCCCACGTACGGAGTTCAGCACTTACCCAGGGCTAGGCAGCTAGGTAATAGCTTTTAAGCTTGAACGCCTATGTGTGAACAAATTCTTTAGCATATGAGTCCCATTCCGTCCCATTGAGAGCATTTTGGATTCAGCTAGAGCCCCAGAGAAGAGAGACCCTCACCAGCATGACTGGAGGGCTGGGGGCATGCGCAGTGTGCCTGGAAGTAGTTCCTCACTGGCTGAAATCCTCGGCTTCTCTTCCTTTGTCTTTGTCACCGGGTCTCAGCAATTTACAGAACTCTCCCTCCTTTCCTTCCACCTGTCATTTTTGCTTCTGAAATAAGAACCATTTGTGTAACACCAGTACTTACCTTAAGAAAGACATGCATTATGTGGTCGTAATCAAACCTGATGCTTTTCAGATGACCTACTTACATCCTCAGTGTGGAAAAGATTAAGAAAACCAATTCATCTAAACTTTTGGGCAATCCAGTTGACTTTTAAATGTAAGAATGGAATTCCAAACACTTAACACATTCAGCTATATGACAGAAAGTAAATCTATGGATATGGTATTTTGTGAATGATCTTTTAAATAAAAGAAAACCTTACGTAATATTTAATGCTTGTCTTTATTTTTGAACTCTTTTTAGCTATTTGTGTATTTAACAGTTTTAAATTTGGAAAACAGTGTCCAAATTTAAGTACTGTTAATATAAGTCAGAAACACCTTGCTTTTGGAAATTACAGGATTTATGAAATTATTTTAAAAGCTAGTGATGATTAGAAGTGAGATGCCAGCTTTTTTCTTGGGTCCCTCCCCCAATTTCCTAAACGAAATTTTTCTAACAGAAATCTTGCGTATGATGTGGCCATAGTTTTTGTTCAAGTAAAGGGACTTTTTAAGATAACTGCTTGTTTTTAGAAGAAATTCTAGGTGTTCCTCATGACAGTGATGGGTGTTTACTTCATGGCAAGCAGATCCTCTGTTTGAGGAGGCACTGCTGTGTAGTTAGGTGGTTTTATGACCCAGTGGGCAAGGTGAAGGGCTTTGAGCTAAGTCTGGGAGAGGCCTGGCTGGTGGGGAGGGTGCTGGATTTGCTTACCTTGAGGGCAGAGCCTGACTGCAACTTAACCTGGAGAAATAAGGTGGGGAGGATGGGTCCTGTTCCCACAGTGCCTGAGGGACTACTTACTTCGGCTGCTTTCCAGCCGAGAGTGCTTGGAGGAGGGGACTTGATGCCGACTGGTGCCTTCTTTAAGGGGGAGGAGCGTCCCTGGGCTGCAGACCCTCTCGGCCTAAGTTGAGGAGCTGGGGCTTGGTCTCCTGGAGGGATTTTCTGGGGCTGGTGTCCAGAGGCTTGGAATCCAACTCTTACGAGGCTTCTTTCCAAAGTTCCTTTGGACTCTTATCTTTAAGGTCCTGTGGGATGTTCAGACCCTTGAAAGGATCATCTCAGTTTCCCAATAATTCAGAAGTGAAACTCTGCAGCTGTCTTCCTGCCTCTCCACAGATGTTGCTGTAACTTTGCAGTGGTTTCTTCTCACAATCACCAGTTCCCTTGGTGTGTAATACTTCCGTAATAGTACATATTACAGAAAGCATTTTAATACCTGTCTTCCACCCATAAGTAACTGAGTTAAGAAGGGACGGTCTCTTTGCCCAAATAAGCACCTAAATAAATAGGGTCATTTTCATAAAAGTTTTTACCAACTATGTGAGTGTCCGGAGATAGGTTTAGACAGTTGACATCTGGTTTCTGTGCTATTCTTGAACTGGCTTCAGAGAAACAAAATTTAATGGAGTGCCAAGTGAGGCCCGTTTAACAAGGGGCTCAGGTTTCTAGGAATGTGCTTACCTCGGAGTCCGTTTTGTCAGAGGCCAGATTGTTTCTCCAGGTCCCAGGAGAGGACGAGTTTCCACTGCCGACTTCCAGGAACCTGGGTTTCCCATCGTGACTCAAGTCTCTTGTTTCTTCGGGGAGGTCTCAGCGAGCTGGAGGCATTGGGAGGAGGTCGGGAGCCGTGCGTTCAGGTGCAGGAGGAAGGTGTGGGAATTGTGACCTAGCGTCCACTTCCAGTTCCTAATTTCTAAGGAGAGCCTGGTTTTTTCAAGGAAGGAGACTGACTTGATAGAGGTTAAGTCTAGATCTAGAGCAAGAAGAACGGATGGATTTCAGTCTGAAGCCGCTCCAGCTGGAAGCAGCATTTCTTTGCTGTGTCATGAGATGGTCCTCCCGCAGCAGCCTCTGTAGACTCGTCACTTTTTAAAAACAGCCTTATTATAATCGGCGTTTTTTATGCTGGCCCCGGGGCTGCTTGGTCTGCAGAACGGGGCCAGCGGCCTGCTTTCGGTTCAGCGGCTCCTCGGTGTCTGCCCAGTGGGACTTCTCACCGGTGTTCTTGCTGGAAATCGGGAGGAGAGATAGGTGGGGTCACATCCGGAACTTTCTGAAGGATCGTCCATACCGGACAGCAGCCCGTGGTGCATGTCACAGATGGCTGCCACCTGGTTCTCCCCACGCTCCCCAAACTGGGTCTTCCCTGCGTAGAAGGTAGTGAGTCAGTCTCACACCCCCGAAGGGAGACTGCGGACAGACAGCAGGCTGCTGCTCGTGTGCTCTCGAGGAGCAGCTGGCTTGGGCCTGGCCACACGTGTCCTTCCTGGTGAGGAGCCTTGCTCTGTCTTGCGTTTTCTTGGCCAATCTTTAACAACATTTGAGATGTCTGAGTCACTTTCTCACTTGTGTGCGGTTACCAGGCTTATAAACACCCCTAGGATCAGAGTTTTCCTTTTACAATTTTGTATCTTGAAAATGAACCAAAATAATGAAGACTATGTACTTAATTATAACCTACTAATCTCTTCCCCCATCTGTAACCACACTCTTAACTGTAAAATACTAAATACACAAACAGAAGTGCACCCCACAGCGGCGGGCTCTTTGGTTTTCAGTTCAGGCACTAGAGAAAATTCGTTTCTCTGTTCTTTCATTCTCTGTGGGAGACAAAGTAAGTGTTAATACAATTGTTACTGGTGGAGAAGCTCATCTTTCCTTGGCATTGGTACGAATCATTCTCATACTCATTATATTCTTGAAATTAGGACTATGCTCACTAAGTAATTTATCAAAACATAAAACGAAGACAAGTTACATACGAGAAAAGATGAAGCGTATATGAAGAATTCCTGTACATCAGTAAGGAACAATTCAGAGAAACAAGCAAAATATTAACAGGCATTTTACAGAAGCAGAAATATGGGCAAAAAATGGTCAGCCTCAGCAATCAAAGAATTGTAAATCAAGACTACAAAGAAAGTACTATATTACACCCACTCAAATGGCAAAACTCAAGAAGCCTGACAAAGCAGTTGCGGGTAAGTTTGTGGGTCCTTTAACATGTCCCAAATCAGAGTGGACGTGAGTACAGCCACCGTGGGAATTAATTTGGAATTAGCATCAACTTGAAAATGGGATGTTCCTGTACTCTGCAGCCTGGTGGTTCCCATGCCAGGTATGCACCCAAGAGAAAAAGCGACCACACAGCATGGTACTTTTACATATTAGAAACACCTTAGAAATACACATTGATGACCCCCCCCACCAAAAAAGGTCACTTGGAGGGAGGCAGAGGAATGGGGAAGTGTTCTAGATTCCGCTGGGTAGCGAGTTCACAACCAAGGATAAATGTCACAGGTGGCTGGGGATGAGGGAGGAGTGAAGCTTGTTTGTACCTTAAGAGCTGGGGGTGGCAGACAACTTTATAGGCTGCCCGCAGGGGCTTCTAGAATGTGTGCACCTTTCAAGGTGCATCTTACTGAAGAGAATTCATCACTTCCTGTCAGCCTTTAAGGGGTGTGTGTGACCCCAGAAGGTTCTCAGCCTTTGAGTTGTTGACTTCTTAGAACTGCGTTACTACCTAGATGTCTTGCTACTGTAACAAGTGTGCACACAATTGACACTCAGCTGTGAGCTGAAAAGCCCTGTTTAAATAGCTCTGTTGGGAGTGATGGAAACTCTAGAGATGGACAGTGGTGATGGTAATGTAACACTGGGAATGTGATCAATGCCGCTGAGTTGCACACTTCAAAGTGGTTAAAACAGTAAGTTTTGTGTTATATATATTTTGTCACAACTTGTAAAAATTGTAATATACCAAAAGTCATTTGAATTGGGGAAAAAAACCTAAGTTCACTAGCAGTTATATAGCGACACAAAATGTCTAGTTCTTTAAAACTTCCTTTCTAACTCACAAGTGAATGGTCTATATGTAAAATGGAACTTGGAGGAATTTGAGAACTGCCTAGAAAGGGGGCCAGATCCTCCTTCCACTGAGGTCTGAAAAGGATCTTTGGACTGACGGGCCCATTTCTGTAAATGGAAAACAGGCTCAGAGAGGGTCCTCGAGGGCTCCTAGGTCCCCCTGTGGATGGACCCTGAGACTTTGCCGGTGGTTGGTGGTCACTTCTCCAGCACCTGCCATCGCTAAGGAAGGCCCACGAATCCAGTGCGGAGAACAGAACTTCATGCCCAGTGGATGTGTTGGAGCTCCTGTCAGTCTCTGGGCAGGAAACCCTGGGGAGGCACGTAGTCCAGGGATGGATGGAAACCGATAGGCTGGTCCCAGTGGGTGAGGAGGGGCCAGGCAGTCCCAGCAAGGACCTGCATTTGTGGTTGGTGAAAAGACAATGAGCTTTGGAGGCTTTGGAATCTGGGTTCAAATCCAGCTTAGCCTCTATAAGCCTCCAGCCAGCTCGCCTGTGTAAGAAACCCAAGGTCTCCCTGGCAAGAGTTGCTGTGGGACTTTTCAAGATAGCACTGCCCCACATGGAACAAAGGAGGGGCCACGATTCACAGGCACAGGTTTGAGAGTTGGTTGAGGTTGGCTTTAGTCCTAGTGCCACCTCGTGCAGGGGACGGGGTCAACAACTGGTGCTTAGGGCCTGCAGGATCTCCCAAAAACTCCGGGTCCCTGCACCTCCCTTCTCCTCCACCGGGTGGCAGCACCGGGTGCCCAGACCCTGGGTTTCTGTTTCGGTTCTTGCTGAACCTCCAGTCTGCACTTCCACCCTCTCCTAGCTGGGCCTGTGAAGTCTGGGCCACCCGGGACTGGGGCTGAAAGAGAAACCCCATCCCAGCAGATAGGGGCCCCAGAGCTGGGGAGCCGGGTTCTGAGATGCCAGACTGATGGGTGTTGGGGACTCTTGGGGGCTTCCCTGGGGTCCCTAGCAGGTGGGGTGCCACTAAGAG